AAAAAGGAAGTTCTTGACCAAAATGTTTAACTTGAATCTGATCACACCTGTAGTCCTAACTTCCAAGTTTATAGAAGAAACACAGAAATGTGAGCAATGACACCATGAGAAGCAGTCACGCAAATCTAGAAGCTGAAATCTCTCAACAGCCCAGCTTCCTTGAGTGGACAGAAGGGAATGAGCGAGAAAAGGTGACTGCCCAGTGTTACAGGAGACGCGAGACCACAACCAACTTCGATGTGGGCGTCTGCCATTGGACCTTGGGTTTTGAGCAAATGAGCTGTGTCAGCCAGAGAAATACAAAAATGGATAATCGTAGGTGGTACTTGAAAATGTATTGGGTTAGCTGTGGTAATGACACCATGGCTGTGTAGGAAAATGTCCTGATTTTCTAGAGCACATAGGGGTGAAATGCCAGCATACTAATTGCCTTTGACATACATTAATAAAAAAAATAGACAAAGCAAAAATGGAAACGTTAAACATTGCTAAATCTAGATGATGGGTGTATGGGGGTTCATCAAACTGTTCTTTATACTAATCTATATTGTGAAATTTCTATAATAAAAAGGAAAAAAATTTAAATGCATCCTGTACCTGAAATAGAACCACGGTATTCCTTCCTTTAAGAAGTAAGCAGAGGGCCGCCTGGGTGGCTCAGTCGGTTAAGAAGTAAGCAGAGGGCTGTCACCCCTTTTTCTCATTGAGGGTGGCCATGTCAAAGCCAACACCTGCTCTGACATGGCCTGCTGTGTGCAAACTCATATTATCTCATTTCATCCGTAATACTAAGAAGTAGCTGCTATTGCCCCCATTTTAGAGGTGAGGAAACTGAGGCTCAAATGAGGTGGATGAGTCACGCAAAGTTGCACAATGAGTATATGGCAGAGCCGAGGACCTTCTCCGTGAGATCTACCCTGACCATCACATCTAATTCTGCCCCCCATAGCTTCCCAAACTACCTGACCCTGCTCTAAACTTTCCTTTATCCACAGCATTTACCATTTCTTAAAATACACATATTTACTTATTCTGTTGTGTCTCCCCTAGATAGAAGGGAAGCTACAAGAAAGCAGGGATCTTTGTGTTATTCACTGACATATCCTGAGCACAGTGCCAGCCACAAAGTAGATGTTCAACAAATATTTGTTGCACGAACTGAAATAATACTGAATCACATAGTGAGAAGGTTAGCTCCTCTTCATTTCTCTTCAATCTTTCTGATTCCTTCAAGAAGAAAGTCTTGGTTTGGTGCCCATGTGTCTTAAACTCCTCTCTGCCACTCACTCGCCTACCTTAATGATAAGAGAACAATCCTAGAGGTCAGAGCCTGGGACAGGTGATCATATCTGGTGCCTGGACATTGAACTCTCTGAGGATCTTTTAAAAACACCAGTGCCAGAAGCCTTAAAAAAAATCCCACCTTCAGAGATTCTGGTCTCAGTCTGGAGTAAGACAGAGACATTCCCCCAGCCCCCACCCCCTACCCCAACACACACTTTTTTTTTTTTAAGTTCAGCTGAGTAATCTAATGTGTAGACTCGGTTAGCTGTGGTAATGACACCATGGCTGTGTAGGAAAATGTCCTAGGCACTTTAAATCGGTTAAGAATCACCGGGCTGCAGTTACTAACACTTTTTGTTGTTACTGTATCCAGTTTTCTCGTTGTTTTTATCTAGGCCAATTGACTTCTTGAAGTGGTAACAATGTTTCCTATTTGAACATAGCATGAACAAAGGGAGGGGATTTAAAGAAACACAAAGGGCAAATAGTAATTTGAGCTTTTGGCAAAATGCATGATTGATACATTTTATCTCAGTGTTACAAACAGTGAAATTGAGACACAGAGAGGCTCTGAGTGGCCCATGTCCCACAGCTAGAAAGTAACATTTTGAACCTAGGGAAACTAGTTTGCCTCCCTTGCTGAACTGCTACTACGGTTAGGTGTCTATCGCCGCCTAGTGGACCCGTTTATTTGCACCCAAGGGAAGCGCTCAGCATTTATTCCACCACCTAGTAGGCAGCTCAGCCTTCAAACTTGGGGAGGAATCCTCTTTCTGATCTCCAGCATGTCCCTGTCCCTACCAGTTTCTTGCCGGCCACAAATGCACACACAAGCAGCATGACCACACCGGAGCCGACTCCAGTGGCCAGGTGGAGTCCCGCCTTAGATTAACTTCAACACAGGGCAGGTCTTCTATATCATAATGAAGCATTTGACCCTCATCCCATAGGCAATAGGGAGCCATGAATGGTATGAGAGCAGACCGAAACTATGTGCAACAAAGTATTTCTGTGGAAAAGGGCACCACGGTGAATACCTGCTATTTTCTCTGTGAAAAAATCCCTATCCTCCCAGAGCCACTAGGAGCCTGTAAGTCCCCTTGGTGTGAATTTTTAAATGGCAGCCCTTCTGGGAGAATGTCAACTCATGACGGGGCATAAGGCTTGAGGGAGGACTTCAACCCCCCCCAACCCCCACTTGCCCCCACTTGCCCCTCTCAGACCCTCGTTAGAGTGAGGCTCTCCACTGTCAAGGGGAAGCACATGTCCCAACCTGGCCAATCAAAGGACTTCATCTCAATGGCTCCTGGGATTGGTTTAATGGTGGTTGGGGGGTCATGACCTAACACCAGCTGAGAGCACCTCTGGGAGCTTTATTAAATTTGAGTTGTGGAGGGGCGTCTGGGTGGCTTAGTCGGTTAAGCGTCCGACTTTCGTTTAGGTCATGATGTCACGGGTCGTGGGTTCAAGCCCCGCGTCGGGCTCTGTGCTGACTGCCAGCTCAGAGCCTGGAGCCTGTTTCAGTCTGTGACTCCCTCTCTGTCTGACCCTCCCCTGCTCACGCTGTCTCTCTCCCTCTCTCCTAGAAATAAATAAAACATTAAATAATAATAATAATAAAAAATCAATTTGAGTTGTGGAGAAATTCACATAACAGAAAACTAACCATTAGCCATGTTAAAGAATGTATACAATTCAGTGGCATTTAGAACTATAACAGCGATGTGCAGCCTCCAAGACATAATCTCTACCCCAAAAGGAAACTCATCCTCATTAGCTGTCACTCCCCATTCCATCCTCTCGTCCCCTGGCACCCACGAATCCACTTGCTGTCTCTGTGCTTTGCCTGTTCTGGACATTTCATATCAATGAAATCCCAAACTATGTGGCCTTTTGTGTCTGGCTTCTCTCAGAGCATCGTGTGTTCAGGGGTCGCCCACATGGTAGCGTGTGTCAGTGCTTCACTCCTTGTTACAGCAGAATACTATTCCATTGCATGGATATACCACATTTATTCATTCATCCAGTGATAGACATGTATATGGTTTCTACCTTCCAGCTCTTTTCAGTGGTGCTTCTATGAACATTTCTGTACAACTATTTGTTAGAATACATATTTTCAATTCTTTTGGGTGTAAACCTAGAGATGGAATTGTCAGATCATATGGTCAATTCTATGCTTAACTTCTGGGGAGATGCCAAGTGGTCCTGGGCAAGTTGCTTGCCCTGTCTGAGGCACATCTATAGAATGAGAATATGTGTGTCTATCTGAAGGATTGTGGGAGGGGACTAGGTTCGGTGATGTGACTCCTTGGCATATAGCACATGGTACTCAATAAATATGAGTAGCCCTTCCTCTTTCAATTAGAGGCTAGCGTAGAGGTTAGCCCATCTCTCCAGCAGGCCAGATGGGCTAGCCTCTACTCCTTGTGGAGCGAGTGATGGCCTAGGTACCCTGCCCAGACCATCTTCCTTTGCGAAGAATGTCAAGTGGTCCATGGGTACTAAACCCATCCCAGGCCCTCTGGTTACGAATTTCTTGCTCCTCATTTACTAAGCTCCAACAGGAGTGTTCTTCCTGCTGCCCCCAGTTCATCCACACCCGGGGAGTTTTGCACCTGCCATTCTCTCTCCCCAGAATGGTCTCGCCAAGGTCTCCAATATGGCGGTGCTCTCTTGTCATCGAGGTTCATCTGGAAAGCATGCCCCCCCTCCACCCCGAGTGCCCTTTTGAAAGGGCTGCTTCCCCACCTCACGATTCTCTGAAACATCACCTGCTTTATCCCGGGGGCAGCATTTGCTCGTGTCTGGAAATGCCTTGTTTGTCTTTGTATTTGTCTATCAGGTGTCTCCTCGTTACAGCAGGGACATCGTATGCCTTTGTTGTCTCATATCCCCAGTGGGTAGTGTCACACATACAGTAGTGACTCCACGCATATTTGTTGAAGAGGTGAATGAATGAATGAATGAATGAATGGGAAAACAGATGCGTGAAAGGATGATTAAATGATCTGGGTGGGAAGAGAAACATGGACAGATGACTGGACACAGATAAGCGGGTGAGGGGATGGATAGACGTGTTTTCCTGACTCCACGCTAAGCACTTTATGTACATTTCTTGTGTTGTCCATGCAGAAATCCCATGAAGGAAGGAACATATTCATATTACAGACAAGATGCTTGAGTTTCAAGGGCACCTGGGTGGCTCAGTCAGTTAAGCATCCGACTTCAGCTCAGGTCATGATCTTGCAATTCGTGGGTTCGAGCCCCGCATCGGGCTCTGTGCTGACAGCCAGCTCAGAGCCCAGAGCCTGTTCTGAAACAGCCTGTTCTATGTCTCCCTCTCTTTCTGTCCCTCTCCTGGTCATGCGCTCGCTCGCACTCTCTCTCTCTCTCTCTCTCAAAAGTAAATAAAACATTAAAAATTTTTTGAAAAAAAGATGCTTAAGATTCAAAGGAAGGAAAAATCACTTCCCCCAGATTATACAACCAGGAAACAAAGGAGTAGGATTCAGGCTTAGGTCTGCCTGACTCCAAGCCTGGTGCTCTTTACATTTTTTTTTTTTAATGTTTATCTTTGAGAGAGAGAGAGAGAGAGAGAGAGAGTGAACAAGGAAGGGGCAGAGAGAGGAAGGAAGACACAGAATCCAAAGTAGGCTCCAGGCTCTGAGCTGTCAGCACAGAGCCCGACACGGGGCTCGAACTCCCAAACCACGAGTTCATGACCTGAGCCAAAGTTGGGCACTTAACCAACTGAGCCCCCCAGCAAGCCCTGTGCTCTTAACCCCCATGGAAATCACCCTGCTCTTCTCCCCTCACTTTGAGAGCCCAGATAGGCCACCCCAGCTCCTCTCCTGATGCCCAAAGAGCCAGATTGCCCAGTCTGGGCCTCTATGTTGCTCGACTGTCCACCAGTGACACAGCCCGATGAGTCTGTGGGCACATGTGTGAGTGCAGGACCTGCTCTGGCACACCCGCCCCCCCCCCAGGCGCCAGGAACATTGCATGGCCAAGGACAGGCCCAGAGAGTATGGGAGTGACCACCACTATTTATGAGAAGCCCGGGGACCAAGTCCCGGCCCGACATCATTCGCAGTGGATGCCAGGTAATCACAGCTCGTGGTGATCCAGCCTCACAAAGTGACACAAAGGAGGAACTGAAAGAGAATAAGGGCAGGTGGAGCAGTGGACCCATCGCAGAAGGGTCACGCAGTCCCGTCTTGGGGCGGGGCCATGCAGGGCCAGAAGGAGGGGGAAGGGAGCTGGAGGAAAAACCCAGGAGTGTCTCTCAGACTCGTGGTCCAGGCCGCCTTCCTCAAGACACAGGTGGGTTGGCAGGTGGCTGGCTCGTCAAGAAGCCGGCAGACATCAGCACTTCTTGTCGTCATTGAGTTCCACGTAGGGGAGCCCCACGGGCCACGTGTCCAGAGGCCAGTAGCGGAGCTTGAGAGTGTGACCTGGCATCTCATACCTGGCGTCCACCAAGGCCATGGTAACCATGCCGTAAGGAAAGGTGACGCTGATGGCCACATGCCTGTGGGGGCGCAGGGAGAAGGTGAGGCCACAGCGGCCCCTGAGCAGCTTGATGCCCCCACCTTGATTCTCTCCTTACTTCTCATGGGTCCTGACCTTCCAAAGGGACCTTCTGGACTTGACCTTGAATGCAACGAGCCCCCCCACACACACACACACGTCCCAGTATCTGTGCCTGCCCTCTCCACCCCCAGGCTCCTGCTCCAAGCTCCAGCATCGGAGATTTTCTGGTTCTGGGGCTCCATACCACAGGGCAGGTACTTACCAGATGCTATGCAGGTAAAAGAAGTTGATCTGCTGCCAGAAACTGCAAAGCACACGGTCACTGACCCAGCTGGTCAGTGCAAACGCCCACAAAACTACGGAGACCTCCATTAAGTGCCGGACCTCCTTACTGCTGGTCCTAGGGAGGGAAGAAGGAAGATCAGAGCCTGGCTCAGATAGTAGAGCCTGAGGGGGCTGATGGGAAATTCCCCCATCCAAGGAGAGGAGGCTGGGAGGAGGGAGTGACTAAGAGTACAAGGGGGAGGGGCCTAATTTGTGCTTATTGCTAACGTTTGCTGAGCACTTATAGGATGCCAACTATAGTTCTAAAAGTCCCTTCAGACCAGGGCGCCTGGGTGGCCCAGTTGCTTAAGCTTCTGACTCTTGATTTCACCTCAGGTCATGATCTCATGGTTCGTGAGTTCAAGCCCCACATGGGGCTCTGCACTCAGAGCGCAGAGCCTGACTGGGATTCTCTCTCTCTCTCTCTCTGCTCCTCCCCCGTTCTCCTGCACACACGCCCTTTCTCTCTCTCTCTCAAAATAAACTTAAAAAAAAAAGTCCTTCAGATCAAAACTCAGTCCTCACAACAGTGCTATTATTCTCGTTTTGTAGATGAGAAAACAGGCATTCGAGATTAAGGTATCACTCCAGCCCCACCCGAGGTTACCCGGCTACCAAGTAGCAGAACTGGGGTCTGAACCAGGCTTGTCTGACTGCTGATTTCTCAACCAATTAGCCCTTCCCTGTTTGTGTGCTCGGGGCTGTGAGCGTGTGCAGCACTGTGAGTCAGTGCGTGAGAATTCCTGTCCGCATGGCTATGAGAACGTGCATGTCCGTATGTGGGAGGGTCAAGCCTCTGGAGGCTGTGTGCCTTGGGACAACTCCAGATCAGAATCTGCTTCCACAACAGCAGAGCTGACTCAGTGTCCTGTAGGAAAGAGCATATGAGGGATTAGTGAGGCAATAGGTCCTTTATGGTTTAAAGTGCAGGCCCTGCCCCCTAGTCTAAAATGGGACAGTATGAACGTCAAACTGGAAAAAAAAAAAAAAAAAAGAATAATGAGGAAGAACTGACGAAATCGGAATAGAGTCGAGTCTGAGGTCTAGTTAATACCATCGTCAATTTCCTCCTTTTGAGGCTGTACCGTGGATGCTGCCCTGGGAGAGGCTGGGGGGAGATGGGGGAAGGATACGTAAGACTCGACTGCTTTTGCAACACGGCATGAGTCTGCAATCACATCAAAGTAAAAGTTAAAAATATAACATGGTGATTGCAATGGATTGAAACACTTCTGAGACATAAACATCCGTGAGTTTATGATAATACTTTTAAAAAATAAATTTCATTGGCCGCTACTAGGGATGGGTAAGGCGCCAACTCACTAGGCTAGAAATGGATCAATTAAGGGAGAGAATCGATGATCAGTCCTCTCATTCCTGTGCAAACTGTATTTCAAGGTTGATGAGCGAAAGTCCTTCTTGATGGAGGAACTCCAGAAAATCACTGCAGGAGGAATTATGGGATCAGCAAACCACTAATGAGCTCGTGAATGGAGGCAGCGCTGCCGAAATCTCTAGGTGAAAGGTAGGTGGAAAACTTAACAATAAAGAGAGGGGTGACACCAGCCACAATCCACTGATCAATCTTAATAGCACTCAATATCGGGACCCAATGGGATGAACAAGAAGCGCCCAGAACCACACATGAAATATTCTGGCCTAAAAGTGTGTAAACCTAAATCTAGATCTAAATATTAATTTTCAGGAAATACTAGATAGATAGATAGATAGATAGATCTCTATATATAGAAACACAATGGAAGACCACACAGGAAGCAGGCAGTTACATCTAGAATGTTCTATAGGACAAAATGATGAAGCTTCTGTTATCAAATCAGAGGCATGAAGACAGGGGAGGGAGGGAGAGACTGCTATGATATAAAGAAAACCTAAGAGACTGTTTGCATCCCGCTTTCAACGTGACTGGTTGTAAGGTGACATCTTGAGAAACTGAGGCAACATCAGTGCAATCTGGGTATTGTCAACTTGGTTAGCTCTGTGTGTGCCGTATCTAACATCTGTCCCTCTAGATCCTTCCCTGCTCCTCTCCATTCTGCCCTATGGCCTGGGGAGGTGGGGTGTTGAGCTGTGTGGACTGAATCCAGGGGCTCCCTTGTCCTTGGGCTTCCAGTTAGATTAGCCAATGGTTTCCAGTTGGGTTGGCCAATGGAGCATCCCAACAAGAAACCAAAGGATAAGGCAAGAGTACAGTTAGAATATTTACTTCTCTGGCCTTCTCCATGTGGGGTTGACTCAGTGTAGCTGCAACCAGCAACTGACGGTCACAGCTCTTGCTAAGGAGGCCCTCTCCGCAGGGCTCTCTCCTTCCAGACTCTCGTAACCACTCCCTCCCATCGCCACTCCCCCACCCAGGTATCCTGAGGGTCATAGGGTCCCACTCTTATTAGCACAGGGGTTCCAAATGATCCCTGGTGATTTTCCTACACCTGCCATCTCCTTTGAAAATAAACCTTTTATTCAGCTCTCTTCAAATGGCCCCATTTGAGAGACCCCTCTCTATCCTGCCAAGACCTAGTATGGGTTAAAAAAAAAAAAAACCATAATAACTCTCAATCAAGAGAGTTAAATCCTGAAACGCTAATAGGTGCCAGTATATGGAATCTGAGGGAATGTATAATGCAGGCTGGCAAAATGCTGACAGTTGTTGAGGCTGGTTAGTGGGCACACGAAGTTTATGGTGCAATAGTCTCTGCTTGTATGTATGTCTGGGGTTTTCATGATGAAAGGGACAAGTTCTGCTCCCAGACAGCCTTAGGTTCCAAACCCAACCCTACCCTTGTTAGTAGATGATCCTGGGGAAAGTACATCCTCTCCTTGAGTCTGGAGTCAATGAGAACTCTGGCGCTGGGACTCCGTGAGTATGCAGGGTCTGGTGGGGGGAGGTGCTTGGAGGGGGATGGGAGCCACCACCCCACCCCACCCCCGCTGGGCAGGCGCCTGCAGCCACCACCCACTTCTTATACTCCTGGAACACGATGAAGAGGATGTGCACAGCGATGCTGTTGAGAGCGTATGCGTTGATCACGGGCCTCAGGAAGGACAGGAAGGTGCTGACCACAGTGGTGATGAGGACCAGACAGGTGAACTGGGGCCTGGGGGGGGCGGGAAGCAGGACTCAGCGGTGGTAAGGTGACTGGTAGGGTCCAGGACAGGGGGCCTAGGGGGTGGTTAGGTTAGGTTAGGGTCAGGAGATCTTGTGGCAGAGGGAAGGGGTTCTAGGGAGCCCAACTGAACTCAGAAAAAGGTCTTGAGGCTCCCACGTGGGCTCAGCAGAGGGTCCCAAGAAGGGTCTGGGCAGGGCCTGAAGGGGGTGGGTAGGGTGATAAGAGGGTCTCAGGGAAGCTCAAAGGGCTTAGTCACGTCAGCAGAGGGTGCCAGGGCCCAGGTCAGATAAGGGGTTAAGGAAAGTCAAATAGGATTAAGGAAGGAATTACAAGGGTCCCAGACACTATCAGGAGAGGAGTCCAGGAAGACTCAGGTGGGTCAAATAGCATCAGGAGAGAGATTCAGAGGGGTCTCGGGTCAAGAGAGGGGATCCAGGAGGATCCAAAGAAAGTTCCAGGAAGCCCAGGTGATAGGCTTATGAGAAAGTTCCCTGGGGTCCAGGTAAACTTAAGTATGGGTTTGGTGGGTTTAGACACGTTCTAGAGTAGGTACCAAACTATCCAGGTGGCATCAGAGGAGGATTTCCAGGGGTCCCAAGTACATTCAGAGGAGGCATTAAGTCAGATAAGGTCAGCAGAAAGTCCTGGGGTGGTGGTCAGGGTGGTCAGGGGAGGGATCCCAAGGAACTCAAATGGACTCTGACGGGCCCAACAGAGCACCGGCCCCGGCCCCACCTATTCTTTCCTAGGAAAGTGGGAAAGTAGCAGCGAGGCATCCATATGCAGTAACCACTGGCCAACAGCCACAGGATAGCAATCTCGTCCAGCAGCTGGCCCAGGAAGCTAAGTGTCATGTGGAAGTACATGGAGAAGAGGCCTGGAACGAGAAACAAAGGTAGGTGGTCAAGAGGGCTGCCTCCCACCCCCGCCACCCCAGTGGCACAGACCCCCACCTACCTATGACCATGAAGAGGATCCAAGTGATATAAATCCAGCGAGAGCGCTTCTGGGCATAGGAATGCATCAGAAACATCATGAGAGGCCCAATGATGAAGAAGGTGACATTGCTGAACTGGAAAGGAGGAGAACATGGGGAGGGGGTGGTCAGGAGCAGAGGTGGAGGAGCACTGCCCCTATGTCCAAACCCTCAGTCCTTAGCCAACTGGTCACCCGCCCTCCTTAAGGCAGTTAAGCAACCCAGAGTGTGTCCGTCTCTCAGTTGATCTTGGCAGTCAACCTGTCATCAATGGATTCATCACTCCATCTGTTATTCTATGGGTTCATTCACTCATTCAATGAATGTGGCAAAGACGGTCTGCTGACCTTCTGCATACATTCTGCCCCTTTTCCTTCTAGAAGCAAGACCCTCAACTTTTAGACACAGCTACGCAACTAAAGACTACATTTCCCAGCCTTCCTTGCAACTCACTGATCCCCTGTGACCTGGTCTGACCAATGGAATAGGAATGCAAATAAATCTATTACTTTTTTTTCTTTAATGTGAGCTACATCTATCAAGAGTTACTGTATTAGAAAGTGAAAGTAAGAGATTTTCAAAACGCAGGACTACGCCAGCACACATTCCTTTGGCCATCTGGCAGATGATGTCATCACTCACCATGAAGCCCCTAGCAAATTTCACAGTACCCTGGTGAGGTAATTAGAGTGAAAAAGGCAAATAAAATCTTCGTATTATCATGAAAATAACTGTCACCTCGAGGAACCTCTCTCAGAGCCCTAGAGACCTCAGTGTCCCTGGATACTGTTTTGAGAACCATCTCTCCGTGAACGGCAGAGCCAAGGAGCTTGAGAATGTTGAGTTGCTGAATTAAGCTATTCCAGAACCATCTACCTCTAGACTTGCATTCCAAAAAGTAATAAGACGTGATCCTGTCTATTTAAGCTGTTTCATTTGAGACCAAAGAATCCCAGTTATCGGGCTCCTGGGTCCAAGTGACATGGATTGGTCCCATGCTCCCCCGCTCCCTAACTTGGAGGAGGTAAATTCAATGTTCTAATCTTCCATATCTGCATCTGTGACATGCATAATGCAACCTCTTCATGTCGTTGACCCAGAGATCCCCAGATCTCACTAGTCTATGAGCACAGTTAAGGTGACAAGAACATTTGCAGCAGAATTTCAGGGGTTCACAGTCTCTGACTGCCGATACAGGACTTCAGTGTCCCTTAAAGCTTCCCCCAGATATGTCTTGCGTGAATATCTCACATGAACTCAGAAAAAAAGTATTCTCATGGTCTTCCGCCCACCAACTTGAGGCCAGCCTGCTTGCTCACTCATTACAGCCTTCTGTCCCCAATAAAATCTTCCTCTCGCAAAGGTCTCTCCCGTTGCCTGAGCCCCATCTTAGAAAGTGAAGAAATAGCTCCCTGTTAGCGAGGACACTCCATTATTTCTCAGCATCCTGCAGACTAGGGTGCATCCAGAGCAATGAGCTATCACCCCACAGGAGTCAGAATGGCTAGTATTAAACAAGAAGAAGAAATAACAAGTGTTGGGGAGGATGTGGAGAAAAGGAAGCCCTTGTGCACTGCTGGTGGGAAAGCAAATTGTGCAGCCACAGTAGAGGTTCCTCAAAAAATTAAAAATAGAAATACATGATCCAGTTATTCTGTTGCTGAGCGTTTACCCCCCAAAACACAAAAACACTAATTTGGAAAGCTATATGTACTCCTATGTTTATTGGAGCTTTATTTACAAAAGCCAAACTAGGGAAACAACCCAAGTGTCTACTGATGGATGAATGGATAAAGAAGAGGTGGTACGGGGGGGGGGGGGCGCACCGGGCTGGCTCAGACGGTGGAGCCCCTGACTCTTGATCTTGTGGTTGTGAGTTCAGGCCCCACATCAGGTGTAAAGATTGCTTACACTAAAATCTTTATTTATTTTATATACATTTTTTAAATCTTTAATGTTTATTTTTTTTAATATTTTATTTATTTCTAGGAGAGAGAGAGAGAGAGAGACAGTGTGAGCAGGGGAGGGTCAGAGAGAGAGGGAGTCACAGACCGAAACAGGCTCCAGGCTCTGAGCTGGCAGTCAGCACAGAGCCCGACGCGGGGCTCGAACCCACGAACCATGAGATCATGACCTAAGCGAAAGTCGGACACTTAACCGACTAAGCCACCCAGGCGCCCCTTTAATGTTTATTTTTAAGAGAGAGCACAAGCAGGGGAGGGGCAGAGAGAGAGGGAGACACAGAATCCAAAGCAGGCTCCCGGCTCCGAGGTCTCAGCACAGAGCTCAGTGCAGGACTCAAACCCACCAACTGCAAGATCATGACCTGAGCTGAAGACGGATGCTTAACTTAACCGACTGAGCCACCCAGGTGCCCCAAAACCTTTAAAAAATATATACAGAAAATGTGGTCTACACATACATTGGAATATTACTCAGCTGTAAAATGGAATGAAACCTTACCATTGGTGACAACGTGGATGGACCTAGACGGTACTATGTTAAGTGCAATAAGACAGAAAAAGACAAATACCGTGCGATTTCCCTTTTAGGTGGAATCTTAAACACAAAACAAATGAATAGACAAACAAAAAGAACAAATTCATAAATACAGAGAACGAACTGGTTGTTGCCAAAGGGGAGGGGATGGGGTGGGCAAAATATGTAAAGAGATACAAACTTCCAGTTATAAAATAAATAAGTCACAGGGTTGAAAAGTGCAGCACAGCAAGTATAGTCACTAATATGGTAATGGCCTTTGATTGGGACAGACGGTAACTACACTTACCATGGTGAGCATTGTGTAACATATGCAGTGGACAAATCACTGTGTTGTGCACCTGAAACTAATATAATATTGTGTGTCAACTATACTTCAGTTAAAAAAAGAAATACAGAGCACAGTGGTGGGTGTAGGGAAATTATTTACCTGGTATGAGATCACCATCTAGGAGCCTAGGTCCTGGGCACCGGGACGACTTCCCGAGGCAGAAGTCCTTCTGATTCTAGGGAAGCCCACGGCTCTCCTTGGGTGGTGGTGAGCCAGCCCAAAGGCCACAATGAGGACCCTTGGCAGCCCCTGCTTCCACCCATGTCCCTGTTTTCCATGCCAAGGTGCCTGATGCCCACCAACAGACAAGTCAAATACATCTCTGTCGTGGCCACCTCGTTCACGATGACAACCCCAGAACACACCTGCTGTGTCTGAATCATGAGCCCCAACCCCACTGGACCAATCAGATTTTCTTGGGAATTTGAAACTTGGAGCAGATGCAGAGCCTGGGAATCACCAAACCTGAGTCACACCATTTTCAACTCCCTAAGATCTTGGGATATTGTCTCGATGTTTAAGATATGTCAGCCATCTTGCCACCACAAACAGAAAAGGCTGAGGACATGGGCAAATACTCAAGGGCAGTATCTGACCTTGTGCTAAATCTTCCAGACCTTGGATCCCAGTCTTCCCAAACAACTCAAATTAACCATTTCCTAGGTACCCCAGGATTTAGCCAATGCATTCTTCCTCTTTGGTTTGTTCTTTGTTTTTGCTTTTTATTTTTGTTTTTTTATTTCATTTTTTGTTTTTTTTTTTTTGCTTAAGCTAAATTTCTATTTCTCCAATCCAGCAAAACTACCACCATTGGCGTATTACCTAGGGTTCTTTGGCAAGCAACAGGCAATGAATTTGGTGAACTTTTACTACAAATATAAAGATGTGTGTATGTAGTTACTTATTTAACTCATTTATCATTCATTCATTATGGGGAACTCATTGATCAAGAGAATTGCAGAAGACGAGAAAAATCAGAAACCAGAACAGCTCTGAGTGCCGAAGGAAGAATCTCTTCAGGGGACAACTTTTGGGCAACTTTGTAGCCGTTATATCCGGGCCCAAGATTCATCAAATTCTGGAGATGCTGCCTGGACCACATCCCACCCTTGGCCCGAGGAGCGGGAGCACCTTGACTGACCACCCCAATGAGACCATAACCGGTTGGAGAAGGGCAACTGGTGGTCGTAGGGAAAATGGGGCCATGGATACAGAATGGGCAAAATCCCAGACAAATCCTAGGTTCCCTCTGCCTTCAAACAAATGCCAGCCCTTGGGCATATCAAGCATGGCTGAAGGTGCTGAACCAACCAGTTTCCCAAACTCTAACCCTCCACTTAAAACACATGTGACTCCCATAAATAAAATGCAAACTCTTAAACTTGGCTTATAAATTCCCTCCATAACTCACTTCTCTCCACCTTCAACTTTATTATCTAGGGGGAAGGGATAACTCAGTTCTTCCAAATGAGCCACAGTTTCTCTCACCCTTTAACCTTCAGAAGTTTGCACGTGCTGCTCCTATTGTCTGGACCATTCCTTGTCTCCACTTACCCTCTTTGCCAGGCCAACTACTACGCCACCTTTCACCTGGGCACTTCACTTTTCGAGAAGGCTTCCCAATCCCCCAAGGCAAGGTCAGGTGCCTTCCTTTGCGCCGTGTCCCTCTGTCCTAACATTTGTCTACAAGTTCTGGAACCATCTTGCTCCCCCCACTAAACTTGGCTTTGAGAACAGGGGCTGTGTCTTCCCCCTTCTCCGCTGGAACTGTAAATAGTAGGGTGCTCAGTAAATATTTCCTGTTGACTGGATCTCAGAATGGGTTTACATGGATCACCAGTCACATACATGAAAATACTTGGCAGAAGGTCTTGTACCTGGAACGTTCTGGATAGAAGGTGCTGTGACTGTTACTTTCTCATCTTTTGACAGCATGGTTTTACAGACATTGCTTTTGATCCTCGCCTGCCCCCTGCTCCCCTCAACGTCTGGCTTTCTAGTTCTTTTCTGGCAACGAGAAAACTGGATCTCAGAGATGTGGGGTGACTGCTCTGAGGTTGCACAGCTCTGGAGGACTCCAAAGTTTGCTTTTGCCCCCAGGGCTAGGCAGCTGGCAATGATGAAGAGGGAGCTTCCCTGCTCTCTGCCCTTGTGACCTAATGTCTCTGGGTCTCCCTTTCCTGCATCAGTAAAATGGGGGAGCATAATTAATGCTACCGTGGAGGCTGTTGAAGGAGCATGCATTGCCTGGGGTGTGGTCCTCACTCAATAAATAGCAAGGGCTGCTGCGGCCGTTGCTGTTGTTGTGGGAGATAATAGTAACAGGCTTATCCTTGGTTTACTTGCTCCAAGCTTGGGGGTCAGCAGAACCAAGACAGAAGTTTCTGATAATGCCCCTGAGTGTACAGAATGAGGGCAAAGCAATGGGCGGAGCCTCTGACTAATGGGCTCCAGCTGGCTCCAAAGTCTCTGATAGCATCGAGACCGCCCACTGCCAGGACCCCCCAACCCCCGCCTGGGGCCAGCCCTCCACCTTTCCCAACCACTGGCCCCACCCAGACTCTTTGAGGCTGGAAAGGTGCCCGCCCAGGATCAAGAGCTGGAATCTCTGCGTCCCAGCCCCATCAGGTGTCTTCACCTTCATTAATTCATTCATTCACTCACTTACTCACTCATTCATTCATTCATTCATTCGCTTACCAACCATTTCTTCAGTATCTACTATGTTGTTCAAATACCACAACACTGCAAACAAAATCTGCCTTCACGGGTGTATCTAGTCAAGGTTTGGGACACACTGTGTACCTCATTTTCCTTCTCTGCCTCCAAGCACCGCAGTGAGGGTTAGAGTTTTGCTCACTGCTGTGAAATCCCAGGGTCTAGAGCAGTTACATGTGGCTGGGTACCTCAGGTCTGGAAGAAGGAGAGAAGGGAGGAGGGGTCAGGGGAGAAGAGAAGAGGGGAAGAAGGAAAAAGTGGGAGAAGAAAGGAGGGGAGAAGGGAGGGAGGCAGACAGACCAGAGCTGACTTCCCACCTCAGCCTTGGGGAAGGGCAGTGGGGGAACCCCTTTCTCATTCACCCCGGCCACCCAGAGCTGAAAACACGGCTGCCCCTCCCATCCCCCCAAACTCCTTCTCTCCTGTTTCATTTGTGGGTTCGATCGATTCAATCTTGACGGTCACGTCCATGAGGACAATGCACGCCTGTTTTATCCCTGGCTGTGTCCCCAGCACCCATTGAGCGCTCAAGAAAAAGTTTCTCGGATCCATCAAATTAATGAACATCACCAAACAGCCCCGTGCTCTCTCTCCCCACCGCCAAAGCTCAAACTCCCGCCACCCACAGCTGGCTCTGTCACCTGTCGAGGAGCCCCTCTGCGTCCACTCAACGTCCGCACATGAATGTGGGTGCAGGGCTGGGGCTGGGCAGCTAGACACCCTCCCTGAATGGGACTTACTTGCATGAATTAAGAAACACATAATTAATTGTTAATCACGCAGTAACTGAGCGGCCTCACAATGCTGTGGTTAATTAAGTGAGAGACTCTGGGACCAGGTGGCCCGGGTTTAACTCTGGTACTTCCGGCACACACAACTTTTATGCACGTGCTACTTACCTGCTGTGCAACTCTGGACAAGAAACGTGCAGTCTCTGAGCCTTTATTCCCCATTTGTAAAATGTGGCGAATAAAGAGTCCCTACTTCTTAGAATTACTCTGAGGATTATAGGAAATGTTATTTGTTAAATGAAGTTAATACATTAACACTTTCACATCTCTGTGTTATGTTTACTTCTAATAGTAATAGCTTTATGTATTCAATGCTTAGGGTGTGCAAAGAATTGTAAGGTTGTTTTTTTTTAATTTGTTTTTGTTTTCAAATTGAGATATAAGTCACATAAGATCAAATTCACCCTTTTAAAGTGTGAAATCTGGGGGCACCTGGGTGGCTCAGTCAGTTAAGCATCCGATTCTTGGTTTCAGTTCAGGTCATGATTCCACAGTTTGTGAGACCGAGCCCCGCATTGGGCTCTGCACTGACAGCATGAAGCCTGCTTGGAATTCTCTCTCTCTCTCTCTCTCTCTCTCTCTCTCTCTCTCTCCCCCCTCCCCTGCTCATGCACGCACATGCACGCTCTCTCTCTTTCAAAAATAAACTTTAAAAATAAATATATAAAGTGTGCAAGTCTGTGGTTTCAATCTACTATTCATGAGGTTGTGCATCCATCATGCACTGTCTAATTCTACCATCCACCACTATCTAATTCTAGAACATTCTCACCGCCCCCAGAAAGAAACCCTGTATCCATGAGCGCCCCCTCCCCTCCCCCCAACAACCATGAATTTGCTTCTTATCTCTGCAGATTTGACTCTTCTGGGCATCTCCTCTGGATGGAATCCTACAATACGTGGCCTTTTGTGACTGGCTTCTCTCACTGAACATCATGTTTCCAGGGTTCACGCATGTTGTGGCATCAGCACCTCCCTCCTGTTTATGGCTGAGGAGTAGTCCATCTGCTGTGTGGGTGAAACACGGTGTGTTTATCCACTCATCCATGAGGAGCATTTGGGATGCGCAGTTGTTTCGTCCTCTCCATGGTCCTGTGAGTTAATTACTATTAGTACCCCACAGCTGCTCCCTTTCTGAAGAGGTACTCAGCGAATATTTACTGAATAAATAGGAAGGAAGGAAAGAGGGAAGGAAGGAAGGAAAGAAGGAAGGAAGGGAGGGAGGGAGGAAAGAAGGAAAAAAGAAGAAAGGGAGGGAGGGACGGAGGAAAGGAGTCTTTCTTTCTTCCCGACACCACCTAGCATGCTGTACTCTGGACTTCTGTTGATTATCTGTCTCCTCCATACCCCAGGACACCAGCCCCATAAGGGGGGGCATTTTGGTTTGCTTTGGTCATCTCTGTGCCCTCAGAGCCTGGAACAGTGCCTGGCCCAATTCTTGAGCAAAATGGAGGGGCCATCATCTCTTTGCGTTGGACCCCTCTGCCACCCCCCAGAAGGCTTTTCCTGAAGCAGAAGAGAGATCCAGAGGGGCCTATCGAGTCTGGGCCAGGATGTGTCGTGGGCATGATCACCATTGTGTGAAATTATTCAATTAATAGCGTCTGCCCTCCCTGAGAACAGAAACCATGCCCTCCTCGTTTTCCAGGAGCGGGGGGAGGGGGGAGGGGAGGGGGGGCGGGCCTGGCACAAATGCTTTTGCTGTGAATTTGATGAGAAGGAATTCAGAAGAGGGAGGTATGGTTTAAAACTCATGGGGGGCACTTGGGTGTCACAGTCAGTTAAAGCATCTGACTCCTGATTTCAGCTCAGGTCACGATCTCAAGGTTGGTAAGTTCAAATCCCTCACTTGCCTCCATGCTGATGACGCAGAGCCTCCTTGGGATTCTCTCTCTACGCCCCCTCTCTGCTCCTTCCTCTGTTTGCATGTTCTCTCTCTTAAAATAAATAAATAAACACTAAAAAAAATAAAATAGGGGCGTCTAGGTGGCTCAGTCAATTAAGCATCTGACTTTGGCTCAGGTCATCATCTCATGCTTCCTGAATTCAGGACCTGCGTCAGGCTCTGTGCTGACAGCTCAGAGCCTGGAGCCTGCTTCGGATTCTGTGTCTCCCTCTCTCTCTGCCCCTTTCCTGCTCATGCTGTCTCTCTCTCCTTCAAAAATAAATCTTTTTAAAAATTTTTAAATAAAATAATAAAATAAAACTCATGGGACCTGCTACTCACAGCCAGGGGCTCAGAGAGGGGCAGGTCTCTCCTTGCACCACACAGCATTTGGAGGAGGGAGGGCCTGAAATCCTCACCCTGCAGAGACCAGCAGTGGGAACCCTCAGATGCAAAAAGAGGAAAGGAGGCTGTAGGAGGTGTGGGCGTTGCAGCCTCTGCCGCCCTGCACAAACTCCCACTCGGATCTCTCTGTGCCCTCTTTTGTACCCGTTCCCCGCACCCTTCCCATTCACTCTCACCCCTGCACCCTTGCCTATCTGATCCCCGGGTCCAGCCATCCGCTCCCTTTGTTCTGTATCCAGGCATCTGAGAAGGAGCTTTCTGGAGAGGATGAGACACAGAGCTTCTGGGCTTTGGCAGGACCCCAGGAAAGAAATTCAGCAGTACAGCTGCTTCTCAGAGCTGGGGGAGGGGGAGGGGGCCTTGAAACTTCCTCCCCCACCACTTGAAACTCTCCTAAGTTGTCAGCAGCCCAGAAGGAGGCCACACCTGGAGGCCAGCAGGCGAATGCCAGCAGAAGCAATCTGGAGCAGCACACACCTTGACTTCTCCCCTGCCCCACCCAGTCCAGGCTCTCCCACACCCCTGACCTCTATTCCTGTTGGATCTGCCATTCTGCCTCTCAGGGCCCATCTGTGGTAGGCAATCAGGTTCCCTAGCTGCTCCCCACATCACTGACACGTAGCTGTTCAAAAGTCATCCATGGCTCCCCAGTGCCCTCACCAAGGAGCCCGCACTCCTCTGCCTGGCATCCCTCAGGTGGCCCCTGGAAACCTCATCCACTCTTCACTCAGCCCTCGGTCCCTCCCTCACAGGCAGCTGGGGCTCTGGCTTCAAACCACCAACGATTCCTTGACATGCTCTTCTCTCTCACCTCAAGACCTCCGCTTCTGCTGGTCCATTCAGTCTGTAGGCCTTAGAGAGCATTTACTCCTATTCTCTAAGCATTGAGATGCCCTCCACATTCAGCAAGCACAGGCCTCCTCTGTCATCCCCATGGCTCCCCACTGCCCATTCTGGCCCCTTTGCCCTCCCTCTGCCACGAGCTAACCATCAGGCGGGTCAGATCTGATTCTGGACATCTCATTTCCTTAGCCTGGGAGCACATAGCATCTCTGGGACCCCAGGATCAATCGGCATGCATTGGTTTATAGCGTTCTTGTTGAATGAAGGAATGAGTCCAATGAGTCCATCGGCAAAAATGGGATATATTTCAAACACTCCGACTCAGCACTCAACACTTGGTCATCTTCATCGCTTCTCATATTCTAGCCACGAACACACACATCCCCTTCCCAAACTGTGAAGCCCCTCTTTTACGTCTAGGACTCAGTAGATCCTTCTCTCTTCTCCTCCCTTTTCCTTGACTCCTCCCCTACTTGGCAAGCTCCTATTCATCTTTCAAAGCCAATTCCCAGGCATCTTCCTCTATGAAACTTGCCAACACGTGGGATGAGTCCTTGAGTGCTTCCTCCTTCTATTATCTGATCATGTAGCACTGGGTTTTGCCTCCCCAACCCCCACCCCAGATGCAGTAAACCCTGTGAGCAGCACATTGAGAAAGTAAAACATCCTTCAGAGGCACCTGAGTGGCTCAGTCAGTCAAGCGCCCAACTCTTGATTTTGGCTCTGGTCGTGATCTCACACTTTGGGAGATCAAGCCCTGCATTGGGCTCCGTGCTGAGAGTGTGGAATACGCTTGGGACTTTCTCTCTCTCTTTGTCCCTCCCCCAACCCTCTCAAAATAAGTAAACTTTTAAAAAATTCTTGCTACTGTTAGTGGGAAAGCAAACTTGTGCAGCCACTCTGGAAAACAGTGTGGAGGTCCCTCAAAAGATTAAAGATAGGACTATCCTATGACACAGCAATTGCACTACTAAGAATTCAGCCAAAGGATACAAAAAAATGCTGTTTCAAAGGGGTAATGCACCCCAATATTTATAGCAGCACTATCAACAATAGCCAAATTATGGAAAGAGCCCAAACGTCCACCAACTGATAAATGGATAAAGAAGATATGGTTTATATAAACAATGGACTACTACTTGGTGATGAAAAAGAATGAAATCTTGCCATTTGCAAAAACGTGGATGGAACTGGAGGGTATTATGCAAAGGGAAATAAG